TTAATTTTGTAAGAAACGCCAAGTATCTTCCAGAGTAGCTGTACAGTTTTGTGTTCTCACCAGCAGTGAGTGAGAGGGCCTGCTGATGCACATCCTCACCAGAATTTGGTGTTGTCAGCATTCAAGATTTTGGCCATTCTAATCGGTGTGCGGTGATACTTCCTTGTTTTAATCTATAGTTCCCTACTGACGTATGATGTGGAGCATCTTTGCACCTGCTTGTTTGCCATCTGTAGATCTTCTCTGGTGAAGTGTGTGTTCAGATTTTTTGCCCATTTTAAAATTAGGTTATTCATTTTCTTATTGTTGAATTTTGAGTTCTTTGTGTTTTTTAGATAACTGCCCTTTGTCATCTGTGTCTTTTGCAAGTGTTTTGTCCCTTGTCCTCCCATTCCCTTGAGCCATGAGCTTTTGCAGTCAGGCAGATCTGGGTTTGAGTCTCTGTATGACCTTGGGCAAGTCACATGCTCTCTCTGAGCCTCAGTTTCCACTTCTGTAGAATGGGAACAGAAGCCCTCCCTCACAGGTCACAGCAGGATGAAAAGCAATCTTAGCGATGCAGAGCCCCAAGCACAGCGGCTAAACCCCTATGGTGTCTCCCGGTAGATGCTGGCGGAGCCCAGGCATGTCAGTTCTCTGCGTGGCACCATTTACCCCCAGTTCCACCATTAAAGCACCTGGCCGTCAATGGTGGTCCCATCCATGGCAGGCCAGGCCAGGTCAGTAACCAGGTCAGTAAATTCACTTGCCAGGAAGATTCTTATGGGTGGGAATTCTTGGTCCCACAGATAGGGCAGAGGAGCAGAGCCTGGGAGACCTCAGCACCGGGGCCACGGACACACCTGCTGTTCAAGGGAGGGGTGATCACGCTGCCAAAGTCAGGGCGCCACTCAGGCTCATGTCCCCTCGAGGACCACTCCTCGCTCCGCACCTGGTGCCCTCCCCATCTGGCCTCCCCCAGACTTCCAGCCTCTGCTCCCACTACAGCCTTCCCTCCAGCCACACTGGGCCATGGTCAGGGTCTCTCGTGCGCCGCCATGAGGTACCACGGCCCTCCCTGCCACCAGAAACACCTTCCCCCATCCCACTTGTCCAAATCCATCCCTCTCCATTGGTCATTGGTAGAGCTCCTGGGCTGGGCTGCAGCCACGAGGGGGCACCATTGCCCGGCTCATGTGCCTGGAACGTCCAGCCTGTTGGAAAGAACCTCCTCCACCCCACTGGCTTGCAGAAAAGCAGGAGGGGACAACGCCTGCCTCACAAAATCATGGAACGTGGACAAGACAGAAACTCCAGGGCCCCATCCCACGTCCAGCGGACCTTCTGGGCCCAACTTGCACACCTCCCGTGACGGGACGCTCACCATCTCCAGCCAGGCTGTCACCACTTTGCCATATGGTCTGTTTCGCAGGGGCCATGAGGTTCTAAGGGGCCACGGGGGCTACCGAATCGACACATTTTAAAAGAATAGCTTTACCTTGGGAAACCACAGGAAGGAAGAGGCCTGGGGTTTCCAGAAAAGCTGAAAACCTACACGTTTGGGTGAAAATTCTCCATGTTTACACGTTGGCTCAAGACTTTTCTAAACACTGTGCCAGCCATGCAATGGAGCCCACGGGCCCTCAGCTCTCCGGGAGGGACCCTGATGTTGGGGGAGCTCAGTGACTTGCATGAAGCAGGCCTGGGCACCCACGTACAATGCTCAGAACCACCACTACCCCCTCCCCGCACACAGGCCAACGGCCCTGCCCGCTCCTCCTCTTGGCACGTGTCAGCAAGTGAGACCACCCATGGGACACGGGGCACAGGAGGCTGACTGGTGCTGCCTTTCTGGAAGGCAGCCCGGGAGGCATCACAGGGCTTACTGTAGGGGGGCATCCCAAGGAGGGCTCTGCAGCAACAGACCAGACCCACAGTGACAACGATACAAGTTTAAAGCGGTACAAAGCAATTAAGAGACTGAATGACACCTAAAACAAGACCATTACAGACGAAAAATCCTACCTCCCCAAAAAAAGCCCCCTAGGCTTGCCCTCATGCCTACTATCTACCCTCCAGACTGCAACCAGAGGGATGTCTATAAACTGCAAAGGTGGCCCCCAGTGCTTCAACAGACCCCCACTGCCCTGAGAATTAATTAGGGTCACATCTGCGGTCTGCTGTGACTCCGGCCACCCGCCCCCCACCCTCTAACCACGCCCCTCACTCCTCAAGTCTCCAGCACACCAGCCTTCTTCCCCAGCTCAGAAGCTTTGCACATGCCATTCCCTTTGCCCGGCACACCCTTCCTCACTTGTTACTGCATTCTGTTGGACTTTGCCTGTTGCATTTGACAGAAAACAATCAAGCTAGCTTACATGAAAGAGAAGATAAAGGCAGAAAATTCAAAGGTCGGGTGGCCTCGGGCCTGGTAGGTTTCAGAGCTCAGGCTCTGCGGTTGTGCTGCCCCCTCAGGGGCTCCACCCAGACTTCAGTCTCAGCTTTCACCTGCTGTCACGTGGCGGTGGCCGCTCCAGGCCCGACAGCCCCTTAGGTTCAAGGGCAGGGGTCAAGAAAACCACCTCCATCTCAGTACCCCCGCGAAGACCTCGGGTACATCCGAGGCCCATCCTGGAACCAATCAGTGTCGGGAAACACGGGTGTCATCGGCTCAGGCCCATCACATATGAACTCCACTGTGCAGGAGGGAAAATTCCCAAACAGACTGAATCTGTTATCAGCCTGGCAGCCAGTAGAGGAGGCGAGGGAGCTCCTGCGGGGGCACCTGCTGCCTGGTGGTGGCTGACAGCAGTCTCTTCAGGCACGACAGCGCTGGCTCTTACTGAAAGGGCCGGTCCCCTCTGCACCTCCAGAGGGTCTCCTCCATCTTGAGGACCCCAGGTTTCCACACCAGCCCTTAACGTCCCACGGCAGACCTTGGCCGAGCAGTCAAACGCCCCTGGATCTCTGTGACTCTCACACGCAGGTCTTCAGCCTGCCACACGGCTCGGTCTGCCCTTCCACTGCGGGAGCCAGGCGCCTCTTTGGGAGCTGCCGCCGAGGGCCCCTGCCTCTCACCCTTAGCCAATACCTGCTCGTTAACAGCTTCAACTTTCTCACTGTCCCTCTGCAGGGCAATACAGCTTAGCGGCAACCAGCCAATTCTGCTGTTGTATTTTTCAAATGCTTGCACCGTCGCATCTGTTGCAGCATCCGCTCCACCAGGACATGCCCCCAGGTCACCACTGGTAAAAGCGTTAGCAATTGTACTGCTCCCTTGTGTCAGGGAAAAGGTGTGCCCCAACTACCAACCAGCTCCAATAAAAACTCTGGACACCAAAGGCTCAGAGGAGCTTCCCTGGTGGGCAATGCTCATACATGAAGGCTGGGAGGAGGTTATGCCACCTGGGACTCCATGGGGAGGGCATAACCAGAAACTGTGTTAGGACGCCTCCTGGACCCTTACAGATACTGTAAGAGTGTGGGCACGAGAGACAGTGTGCCAGTTGGGACCACCAAATCACATTTCTTCAAACCAAGGATCACACGTTACACCCCACAGTGTCAACAGCAGGCAGAGACCTCCTCCTTGGAATGATGTTTAGGCAGAGAGTTAGAACGGCATCTGAGACCCCAGTCGTCTGACATGGGGCGGGGAAGATAAAGACGCGAAGGGCTGGTTTTCAAGCCTTCCTGAGTATACGTTCACCCTCAACACCAGGGAGCCAAGGCAGGTCCCCACTAGAAAGATTCCTCTGCTTTTCAGGTGATCTGGGACGGGGGTGGGGTAGAATTGTTGTGACCGCACAATTCTTCACACAGGGGGAGGATGCTGGCATGACACCGTCTCAACTTTCTTTTTTTGTATCTGATGCAACTGTCCCGGGGGCAAGGCTGCCACTGTGCACGCAGGAAGCAGGACTGATTCCTAAGCAAGAAACCATAACTAGAGTTTTAAACCTTGGTGTCAGAATTCCTAAGGGCCTGATGGGGTGGACGATGCCTTCACCCCATCTGGCAAACTCAGGGTTGCAGCTGTGTGTCGCCCGCTGGTTGAGATGGCCCCCTGGTTAACTCTACCTATAGGAACGGAGTGCGCCGGGGTACGGGGGGGAGGTGCTCGCTGGACGGGCATTGCTGCCTTTCATCTAGACCAGCACGATGGCCAAACCTAACGTCCATTCCCAACGTAGAAGAACTGGGGTACAAGTGGAGAGAATCGGAATCACAGCTGAGGGGAAAGGATGAATGGGTTACGCAACAACTACATTTGTCCAGGACATTAGTATCTCATGAGGCTTAAAGAAACAGGCAACGCCATCTCTCAGCTCCATTATACCAGACGGCTGAAAGGGTGAAGCCGAGCTCACTCCTGCCTTTGGAACCTGACGAAGTGAAATGGACGCTGCAAACCTGAATAGCCTTGTCCTGGAAGACATGTAGTCACATGAGAGACGATTCGCTGGATGAACTGCTAATGACTGGAGGGCACTCCAGTCTCATTTTGCAGGTTACTCCTACCTCCCGTGATATGTCCCCATAGCCCTGGCACCACTGGTGAAGCTATAATACCGACAATGGCCAAATACACTGGGACACGGAGTTACAGCCTCCGCAGGATGGAACACCAATGGAGAACGGCTGGCCCGAGAGAGAACTGGATTTAGCTAACCATTAGCTCATTTCTACGCTGAACAGTCTCACGCACGTTCGTCATCAGGTGCGAAGAGCAGTCGGTCAGGAGGTGACAAAAGTAACACTAAACGTAGATGTCCAGCTTTTGGACAGCGTCCAAAGTGACAAGCCAGGTGCCGCCCACATGTGGAGAAGGAGAGGAGGGAAGAGGGAAACGCAGGCGGAGGAGAAGAAGTAGGATCAGAAGCGAGCACGCTCCCACTGCCGTCCTTTCAGCAACCCAAGGTGAGGCCCGAGGCGGGGGCCCAAGACACGCAGGCACCGCTGGCACACGCAAACGCTGCACAAAAGGAAGCGGGTTTTCTGTTTTCACTTTTTTACTTCATAACCCTTTTGTACTATTTGAATATATATATATATTTGCAATATACATGTACTACTTTATAATTAAACAAAAACACTTAAAAACGATTTTTAAAAAAAGTGAAGAGCTAATCACAGTGGAACATGAAACAGAATATCATCATTGGGGACAGGTCACCCAGTTGAGTCCAAAATGTCCAACGTGGTCGCTGATTCCAGTCTTGGTCATGTCCAGCCTCGGATCCTCCGACCCCATCCACGGGGCACCAGCAGTGGCCTGCGCAAAGCTCCCTCCAGGGGCACAGGAGAGGCCGAAACGCGAGGAACAGGTCAGCAAAATTAAGTTAATTTACAGGGTCAGAGTAAACTGGCCACATCGCCCGCCCCCCACGCGGCCGGCAGGGAGCACGGAAAGAGGCGTGCGGCCGGGGCGCCGGGCCAGGGAGAACCCGGGGCTCCACGCGCTCGTCCGCGGCCGCGCCTCACAGGGCAAAGGTGGTGAAGAAGATGTGCATCTTGGCCAGGAAGGTGGTGACGGAGCCCTGCCGCCATAGCTTCATCTCCACGTCCAGGGCGAAGTCCCGTGGCTCGCGCACGGACCGCTGCAGGAAGACGACGCCCGTGTAGGCGTTGAGGCGGCGCGTGCCGAAGTAGCCCTCCTCGTTGCCCTTGGTGATGGTCAGCGCGATGGTGTCGCCGGCGAAGGCGGGCACCGGGCTGATGCGGAAGATGTGCGCCGGCACGAGCAGCCCGGTCTGGAAGTTGAGCCGGTAGTACGTGATGCGCGCCGGCGCGTTCTGGCACTCCATGAAGTCGTGGCACAGCGCGCGCTCGCACTTCCTGCGGGGCGCACGGCGGGGGCGTCAGCGGCGGGCTCGTTCCCACCCCTACACTCACCCAGCCCGACCGGGCGCCGGCCCCCAGCCCAGCTCCGCCCTCGGCAGCCTCGCAGCCTCTGCCGGGTCACCTGACCTCCCTGGACCTCAGCTTCCTCGTCGTAGGACGGGTTAATGGCCTTGCGATTTCACTGGTGGGAAGGGGTGAGGTTATAAACATGCGGGCTCTCAGCACAGCGCCAGGGAGCTTGTCATTCTTACCTCCCTGCCTGCATTCTTTCCCTTGCCTATGTGCATGGATTCCCTGGCCTCGGTGTTTTTACTGTTGTAATCTTTTCTCAGATTCCCTTTTCTTCCATGATTGACTCTCCTGCGGAGCCATTTCCTCTTCTGACTTGGGATGGCCTGCCCTTTCCCCTCTCCGAGGATCAGAGAGCTGAGTCACACCTGCTCCAGAGGACGCCGGGAACTCGGCCACGCTACAGGACCACGATGACAGAACCTGCACCAAACCCCACGGGGCCCAAGGCTTCGGTTTCTAAGCTCAGCAACAATCTGGTCTCTTCGGGGTGCAATGAGACACCGTCACCTCCATCACCAAATCCCTGTCTCAAAGCTCAGTGCTTCCAAAATGGCCACCAGGGCTCAGCAGGTCTAGTGGATGTTCTGAGCAGAGCTCCCCAACTGGGGGACCACAGTGCCCAGCCACGCAGTGTTGGGATATGACGTCACCAACACATGGCACTAATGCAGCACCAGGCCATGCCATACACTCTGTAAACTCATGACGTGTTTTCACTCATGCCGTGCTGACACCCACCCTGGGGCTGGCGCTACCATCACCCATGTTGCAGGCGGAGCAGCTGAGACCCAGGGAAGGGAGGTCACCTGCCCAGGGTCACCCAGACACAGTCACCCAAGCGTCCCAACACACCTGCACGTAGACACTCCCCAGCACTGTGTGTATTAGCAAGCATGTCACGGGGTCAGCAGGACAGCCGGCAAGTAAATCACGAGCGCATACATGCTCAGAAGCGCCACCCCAGGCGGGCTGCACGCACAGATGCAAAAGACGGCGACCAAGCAGAGAAAGCACGCTTCGAACAACCGAGCACATCCACATGACAGCACCGCGCAGAGAAAACAAGATGGGCGCTCCAGCAAGTCCTCTATGGAAATGCATGTTTAGTAAGGAAAGGACAGGAAATACGGCGAAACACCAAGAGGCATCACTAGGGAGTGTGGTCACCAGCCTGCGAGATGGCCCCGGTGTGTCCCCTCCTGTCACTCACACTTTGAATGTTGCCTCCCAGGGTACCCCATGCAGTGCTGGACTGTGTGGCCAGGAGCAGAAGTGATGATATGTCACTTTTAGGATTGGGACCTTCACTTGCCTTCTTCATGACCCGTGCTGGGAGAGCTCCGGCCCCATGAAGAGGCCACATAGTGAGGCGCTGAGGCCTCCTGCCCAGAGCCATGAGTGGGCAGCGGGATCCTGCAGCCCCAGTCAAGCCTTCAGAGGACCCAGCCCTACGCGACCCTTAGCCAGGACCACCCAGCTAAGCAGCTCCTTGGCTCGTGACCCTCCAAGACTGTGTGAGATGATAACTACTTGTCACGTTAAGATGCGAAGTGCTGGAAAGAACTCGTTACACGGCAAAAGATAATGTGTGTGTGTGTGTGTGTGTGTGTTTGTGTGTGTTTGAAAGAGATTTTTGTGTGTGAGTTTTCCTCCTTTCATGCTCTATGCTCCAAGCTTTCCGCAAGGTGCTCTCTTGTACCATTTATAGTCATCAGACCGCAGACCTGGCAGTGGGGCCTGTGAAGAGCAGGAGGTGGTGAAGGCATGCGCCGGTCACCTGGCCTCCGCCCTGGGCAGTGTGGATTGGCCGAGGCCGGTGGGGGCACTCACGTTTCAGAGACCCGGACGTAGTTTGGGGGACACTCGAAACGCAGGCAGCGGAAGCCACCCTGGATGTTATGGCAGGTCTCAGCCTCAGAGCAGTTGTGGGTGCCCAGTGCACACTCGTCCAGGTCTGGGGGGAGCAGAGGAGGGCGATGGGAGGGATGCCCAGAGCTGGAGACCCTCGTCCGAGCCACCCCAGCCCGCCCCAGGGGCCTGGGTCTCAGAGCAGCTCGGCCTGTGGGCGCACAGCTCACGTGCCACCCGAGCGTCACATACTCCCGTCTCTTCCACTCTGTACAGTAGCCAAGGGCCTGGGAGCCTCTGTGCTGCCAGCACAGGCCATTCCCCAGCCCCCGCGCCAGGAAGGCCAGGGAGGAGGGGTCGGGGGAGATGTCCTGAACGCCAACAGGTTTCCGGCCTGAAGCGCCTTCAAGGACCAGAATCATGGCAGTGTCTGAGCCGCCCAAGAAGCCCGTGCTGTGCTCCCACCATCAAGCAGAACAGGGCCTCAGGTTCAAAACTGAAATCACGCTCTAGGCACATGGAGTCATCGTTCCCGCACAGCTGTTTGCGGCAGGTAAGACCCTCACCTTTTACAGAGTCCACACTGATTTTTTTTTTTTTTTTTTTTGCGCTACGCGGGCCTCTCACCGTTGTGGCCTCTCCCATTGTGGAGCACAGGCTCCGGACGCGCAGGCCCAGAGGCCATGGCTCACGGGCCCAGCCGCTCCGCGGCATGTGGGATCTTCCCGGACCAGGGCACGAATCCGTGTCCCCTGCATCGGCAGGCGGACTCTCAACCACTGCGCAACCAGGGAAGCCCCAGACAGATTATTTTTTAAATTAAAAAGCAGACAGCTCTGCAGCCACGAAGGCTTGGCCAGCTTCTGGGACCCCTGAGGCTTCTCTTGAATAGGCTGGGTAGGTCTCCTGTCTTTAGAACCATCCCACAGGACCCCCGTCCCGCTCGCAGGGCAGGGCCCAGAGCAGAGTCCAAGCCTCTAAGCTGGGTCAAGCAGCAGAAAGACTGCCACCTGCCTCATCCCAGGCGTAGACCTCGGTGAACACGGCCACCAGTGGCATCAGCCATTCTCTGCCTATGCACTTGGTGTCAGAGCTCTGGGAGCACAGCCAGCTGCATGAGGCTTCTGGGCCTGCTTGGAGGCTGCCTGAGGCCCCGGTGGGGCGGACCCCGCACTCACCTTTGCAGGACCTCCCGTTGGCCGTCATGGTGTAGCCGCGCTCTGGGCACACGCACTGGTAGCTTCCTGGCACGTTGATGCAGCGGAAGGTGCAGAGGATGCCGGCGCCCTGAGCGCACTCGTCAATGTCTGCCAGAGAGAGTTTCAGCCCCTCGTGAACCCTGGGTCATCCTGCCACAGCAGTGGAGCCTAGGGGCCCATTTTACAGATAAGGACGACAGGGCTGAGAGAGGAAGAGAGCTGCCTGAGGCCACAGAGCTCACAGGACCCGCATTCCAGGGCTTGCCTCCTGGGGCCGCCCCATACTTGCTACTGCCAGCTGAGGGCCAATCAGGTACCAGACAGGGTGTGGACAAGGTACAGCTGACCCCTGAACAACACAGGTTTGAACTGCACAGGTCCACTTACACGAGGACTTTTTCCAATAAATACTACAGTACTACGCCATCTGTCCTCGGTTCAACCACAGATGCGGAACCGCAGATACAAAGGGCCGCCTGTAAAGTTATATGTGGATTTCTGACTATCGGGGAGGGGAGGCCCTAAACCCCGTGTCATTCAAGGATCAACTGTAATTAACTTAATCCTTCATCCCACTGACGTCAGACGTGGGAAGCATTTGTCCAAGGCGGCACAGCCAGGAAACGCCCGGCTGGGTCTCAAACTCTGATATGACGCTAAGGCCTCCGTGTGGCCTGTGTCCCCGGCCCGGTGGGGACTCGAGGAGCCTGGCACATGGGAAGTGGTGTCTCTCAGGAAGGGGGCCCTGGGCAGAGGAGAGGTACCTGTGCAGGTATGCCCGTCCTCAGCCAGCTGGTAGCCCTGGCGGCAGTAGCACTGGTAGGAGCCATAGATGTTGGCGCACTCCTGGCTGCAGCGCTGGGCCTCACACTCGTTCACGTCTGCAGACAGACCAGCCGGAGGTCACTGAGGTGTCCTTCCAGCCCAGAGGGCCAAGGTCCGGCTCACCCGGAGCCTTATCTTGAGAGACCATCAGTTCCAGCCTCCCTTCGGGCCGACGGGGAACCAGAGGCCCAGAAAAAGGCAAGGAGCCTGCCTGAGACATGCAGTAGGCAGGGGCAGTAATATATTAAAGCTTGCTGGTGCAGTCCCGGCCTACTGCCTAGAGGAAGCAGCCACAGGTGGGGCTCAGATCCCCACACGGGGAGCTAGATGCTGCCCTACTGAGGGTCCACAGCACTGGGTAGAGATGGGTCCGGGAGATGTCACCTAGGTGCTAACAAGGACCTGCCCTTGACCCCCAGGGCCGGCCTGCATGGGGGTGGGGGAGGGGTGAGAGCCGGCCTGCGAGGCAGCGGGTGAGCTGTGTGAGTGGAGGACGGGGGAGATGGGGCATCTGCTGGACTCTGAGTTCCTTGTGGGCAGGGACTTGTCTCTCATTCATCCAACCAAGACCTGCCGGGCTCCGACAAGCGCCAGGCCTGTGCTGAGCGTGGGGACAGGGCCACGAGCAAGACGGACAACCACCCCGCTGTCATAGAGCTGATGTTCACGTGTGTGCTGGGGAAGAAGTGGGGGGATTAAAGGGGCGGAATACCTAGTACGGCAGAAGGTGGCGCGTGCTATGGGAAGAGAGCAGAGAAGGGGCAGGGGTGCGTCTGGGAGGGCTGCAGTGTTAGAGTCGCGCGGGCATCTGGGGAAGCGTTCCAGGCAGAAGGCACGGTGAGAGCACAGGCCCCGAGGTGAGGGTGCGCCCTGTACACGCACAGAAGAGTGAGGAGGCCGGTGTGGTCAGAGCAGAGTGCGGGGGACGGGGTCAGCTCACACGTGGCCTTGAGGCCACTGTCTGACGCATGATCCTCGGGACCTCACAACATACACAGCTTTCACACAAAATGATGGAAGCCGTGAATGAGTGAATGAGTGGCTTCTCTCCTCTACCGGGCTCTGAGCTCCCGGGGGCCAGGGGCCACGCTGGTTCCACCTCTGAGTCTCTACCGTCCAGCCACAGATGGAGCTGGAGAGAAGTGGCCTGAAGTAGGGGCGGCGGCGGGGGGGAAGGCAGAAGGGCCAAGAAGTGAACGAATGAACTACAGCTAGGGTGGGAATGCTGCTCCACCCCCACGGCTGTCTGCACCCAGCCTGGCCCGGGGGAGGGCTCACAGGGGGCTGTAACCCCCGTGAGTGAAAGGGAGTGACAGGGTCTGTTTTGGGAGCCCATCCAAGTGCCGTCTGACACAGCCAGGCCTGGGGTCGCTCCCCTGTCCCTGGGCTGGTCCCGTCCCACAAGAGGCCAGCTCTTTGGCCAGGCCAGGCAATCAGAGAGAGGTGCATGGCCTTCCCAGGGGTCTCAGCACACTCACCTCCCCAGGAGGGAAATGAGGAACGCGCCTCCAGGGGAGTGCTGGGAAAGGCGGCACCAGCAAATGGGGCCAGAGACCCCACGCCCCCTTACTCACGGGACCCCTCCCCACTTCACTGAGCAGCCTGGGACCCCTGCACCCCTCCACACCAACCCCCCCAGACCCGGCCCAACCACACCATGAACACAGGTGGGGAACAGCGTGACGGTCCCTCACGCGTCCCCTCCGTCAGCCCCAGGCGCACCCCACATGGGTGAGTTCACGTGCTCGGTTTACCACACAGTGTGTTTAAGTTTAGATCCACCAGCGACATGTACAAACCAGCAGACTTCGCATAAATATCTAGATTTCTGGGCTCTGGAAAACCAAGATGGGGTGACTCTGGAGGGCACTGCCAGGTGCTGTGTGGCCGCCGGGCCGTCCGCGTGGCCACAGGCCTACCTCTCATCTCACTCACTCTGCCCCCCGCCTGAAGCCCAGGGCACCGCGGTCATGACCAGGGTCAGCACCTACCAAGGGGCAGAGGCTGGGCCGCCCCCACTGCCTGCCGGGAGCTCCCGCCCAGGGGTGCACACAACACACACCCCCAGCCCTTGGGTCTGAGATGGCAGTGGGGGGCCCTGGCAGGAAGCAGCGTGCAGCTGAGGCCTGGGGCCCTGCACGGGGCGCCACGGGTCAGAGGCCGGGTCGGCCGTACCTTCGCAACGCTTGCCGTCGGCCGCCAGCCGGAAGCCGGAGGCGCAGGAGCAGCGGTAGGAGCCGAGCGTGTTCTCGCACGCGTGCTGGCACAGGCGGCTGGGCGAGCTCCAGCACTCGTTCACGTCTGCGGGGCGGGCGGCAGGTGCAGGGCCTCAGGGAGGGCGGAGGGGGCCTGGACGCCAGCCGCCTCCAGCCCCGGGGAGGAGAGGGACCCAGGAGCCCAGAAGGAACGCAGGGGAAGAGGGAGCAGGGGAAGACGGCAGAGGAGGTGTTGGACAGAGACCAGAGGCAGACATGGAGAGACAGACGGCACAGCAAAGGGCAAGAAAAGAGCGCGATGGGGACCAAGAGCAGAGCCGCAGCTGGACAGGACGGCAGGAAGGCTGTCCAGCCCACAGAGGGCCGGCCGTGTGGTCAGGGCAAGGCTGGCCGGGGGGAGGGCCTGGGGCAGGCGGGCACCTCTCAGGGCAGCCGGACGGGGTCCCGGCCACCAGTCCCACCTACCGACACAGGCGCGGCCGAAGGCGTCCCGCTGGAAGCCAGGCTTGCAGTCACAGCGGTAGGAGCCGGGGAGGTTGTGGCATACCTGCCCCTCGCCGCAGCGGTGCACGCCCGCCTCACACTCGTTCACATCTGCAGGGGGAGGCAAGCAGGGCACCCTGAGGCCCGGACTCTCCCCCTGCACCAGCCGCCCCGGCCCAGGGCACCCGGGAAGCCAGAGGCTAGGGGGAGGCGGGCCTTACCCACACACTTGGTCCCGTCCTGGCTGGCGTGGTAGCCACGCCCGCAGATCACCGGGTTCCTCTGGCACGTGTAGGAGCCCACCGTGTTGATGCAGCTGAAGCCTGGCCGACATGGCTCGGAGAGCGACGTGCACTCATTGATGTCTGCGGAGCGGGGTGCGGGTGACAGGGAGCCTGCTGGAGCCCCTCCTGGAGCCCCAGCATCTGAGTCCAGGGCTGCACTGGGAGGCGGCCAGTCCTGGGCCCCAGACCAGTCCAGGTCGGGCTGGCAGGTCAGACTATCCGGTCCCTGAGTCCCAGGACCCGTGGGCTTTCCCTCCCAGAACCCAAGCGCTGTTGGGTAGGTTAGAAAAACGTGATACACCTTCATCCAGTCCAATCCCACAGATGGGTAAACTGAGGCCACAAGAGAAGTAACTCAGCCGCGAGCAGACAGTTCAGGATAATAAGAGCTTCCATTCTGCAAGTGCCTCGCGGGGCCCAGGCACTGACACATCCATTCACAGAGGGACACTGAGGCCGGGAGGGGGCAAGTGCAGCGAGCCAGGCCTCCCTCTTCCGTAAAGCCCTCAGAGCCTATCTCCCCAACGACCTCTCCTAAAGACCCCCAGGGCCAGGCAGCCCCTCCAGGCCCCACTCACCCACGCAGTTGCCCTCGGGGTCCTGCAGGAAGCCCTCCATGCAGCGCTGCCGCGCCTGGCAGTAGAAGGAGCCCTTGGTGTTACGGCACACGGAGCCCGCCTGGCAGTTGTGTGTGCCCAGCTCACACTCGTCCACGTCTGCCACACAGACCAGGCCGGGGGTCAGGGGCCGGCGGGCTGGCAGGCCCCCGCCCGCACATCTCCACAGTGACCTTGACGGTTACAAAGGTCTTCTATGTCACAGGGAGCTGCCGTGGCCCATGCCAGCAGTACAACAACGTCACCCCCTCACTGAACTCTGCCGTGCTACCAGGCGTTGTCCCAAGGGCTCTGAGACGTACTTATTTACTCAGTGCTTACATGTACCCAGAAGCAGGCTATGACGAGCCCCCTCCTTCACAGGGGAACCTGAGGCACAGGCAGGGTTCCAGAGCTGGGGCACTGCTTCTGGGCAGCCAGGCTTGGAGATTCCAACGATGGAACTGCCAGACCTGGACGGCACCGCTGTCCCCGCCTGCGGTGTGGCACCAGCAGGTCACAGGTGCCCCTCCCCGCTGTGCAGCACCCAGTTTACAAAGTGCAGGCCCCATGCTTCCCCTGTGCTTCCCGCACAGCAGGCATGTCGGGCTCTTTCCAGACGAGGAAACCGAGGCACGGAGCAGAAAGGGGACACAGAGGGCTAGTGGCACAGCCGGGACCGCCTCGGCCTCCTGACGGCCTGACCAACCAACCTTGTGGGTCTGTCCGTGTGTTGTTCATCCATCCACCCCCTCCAGTTTCCAAGGTTTCCACCACTTTCCCAAAGGAGCCCAGCCTCTAGGCAACCCCATGCTGGGTTCTAGAACCCCCTCCAAGGACCCCCGGGAGGCTGAGAACACAGCCCCTGCCCAGCCACTCTGGTCTAAGAAGGAGGCCCTGGGATGAGAGGGGTGGGGGTGCTGGGGCGTCCAGGGAGACGGCCCCCCTCCCCACGTGTCAGGGTTCTCTAAAGGGGGCTCACCGTGGATCTGTGTGAGCCCTGTGGGCATGTGTGGGTGTGCACGGGTGTGCGCCGAGGGGCCTGGGCTCATCTCCTGCCAGCTCACCCCACCCCTGCTCCGCGCCCAGCTCAGGGCCCGGCATGGAGTGCGTTCAACACCTGCCTGAGCTCCCGCCGACCTCAGAGCCGCTTCCCACCGCCATTTTCCGGGCTTGCAACAATGGAGCACTGCTCTGGGTCTCACCTCCTGGGTGACTTTCTTCTAGACGTTTTCAGTTAAAATAAAACGCTTCCCGTCACGGGTGAAACAAACTCCCAACTGCTCGCCTATCTGGGCCTGCCAACCCCGCAGCCTCCTTCCACCGGCAGCGTGCTCTCACCCGAGACACCCTTTCTGCCCTTTGTGCCAAGACTCCTCCCCTCCCTAAGGGCATGACACCTGCTGCTCCCTCTGCCTGGAACACCCTTCCCAGGGGCCTCTCATCCTGCAGGTCTGCGCCCAGACATCACCGCCACAAGGGGCCGGCCTCTTTGGACCCCACCTAAAGCAACACCCAGCCCCGCGTGCCTGTGGGCCCGCCGGTCCCCCCATCAGGAGGCCAGAGACAAGAGCACACCCTCACCGGTACCCCTGCCACCCAGAACCCTGCCAGGCCCACAAATGACACTGGGGAAGCATCTGCTGAAACGGTTCAATGGAACCTCTCTCTCTTCTGAGGAGGCTAGAATTTTCTGGTAAAAAGGACAGAAGTGACCCTTCTGTGGGCACTGAGGCATAGGGAGGGGAATAACTGACCCAGACACACTTACCTCGGGGGCCACCCCCCGCCCCAGCCTCTGCCCCTAAACCATCGCAGGAAACCCCAGGGCTGGGAGCTTGCCAGAAGGGAGAAGGCTCTGGGCGGGCCAGGTGGGCTGCAGGCGGGCTGCAGGCGGGCTGGGGGCGGATCAGAAGGTGGGGCGGGGGTGGGGAGGTGGGCGGGGCCTCCAGCCAGCTCGCCTCACCTGTGCACTCGCCATCCTTGAGCATGTAGCCGGACTCACAGGTGAGAGCCTTGTAGCAGCGGAAGGAGCCCACCGTGTTCATGCAGTGCTCGCCCCGGCTGCACGTGTGCAGGTCCGTCACGCACTCGTTGATGTCTGCGGGGAGGGTGAGGCCGTCAGAGGCTGCGGGGCGCTCCCAGTACGGCGCACGCGCTGCCGGCCAGCCGGCCCTGCCCTCAAGGTACTCACTTCCCAGAGAGCAGCACGGTCTGTGCAACCACCCGTTCAACAAAGATTCATGGAGCATGTGCCATGGCCCCAGGGGTACATGGTGAACAAGACAGACAGAAAGTCTGCCATGGCGCGGGACACTCAGAGCGGGGGGACCAGCGGACAGACAAACCTAAGAGGGAGGGTGGTCCTGAGTCTTGTGCAAGAGAGAGCGAAGGAGACCAGGAGTGGGAGGTGCAGGGGGCGGAGGCACGAAGGATGCTCAGGGCAGAGGACACTTGAGCAAAGCATTTGAGGAGGTGCCAGGATGAGCCGAGCACGTATCTTAGGCAGAGGGGACAGGCCGCCAGGCAGGCCCAGGCTCTGGCCCAGAGGGGCGGGAGAGGAGAGTGTTAGGAGATGCGGGGGAGGTGGGAGCCATCAAGGGCCCCAGCAGAGGAGGGAAGTGGGCTGACTTATTGGTAACAGGGTCCCCTGGCTGAGTGCAAATACCCCAGGGGTGAGGGTCTGTTGGACTAGGAGATGATGGGGCTTAGGCTGCCGCCCACGGAGGCGAGGAGAAGCAGTCGGGTCCTGGAAGTGCTGTGAAGGTCAAACCGACAGGATCTACGGTGGATGCGACGAAGGAGAGAGAAAAAGAGGAGCCCATTGGCCTTGGCAAAGCTTTCTGGACGAGCAGCTCTACAGATGGGGGCCCCGCACCCGGGCTGGGGCCAGCTGGGAGGAGCAGGCTCACAGAGGAAGGCTGGGAGCCCTTGACGTCACACTGGGCTTGAGGATCAAGCGGCAGCCAGAGGCCTGCCTCGGAGCTCGTGGAAGGGGTCTGAGGCGAGACATTGACGTGGGAGTGGTCACTGCTGAGGTCACCCGGGGGCCGAGTACTGACGCCTGGGATGCGCAGGTGGGGAGGGGAGAAGCCAGCAAAGGAGGGAAAGAAGTAGCATCAGGGAGGGCGGAGGAGACCCAGAGAGGTGGCCAAGTTAGACGTCCCTGCAGGTGGGCAGAGGACACCCCGTGTCTCTGCCACGCTCCACCTGGCAGGGGAGGTACAGCAGTCGTGCGGATTCGTTCATTCACTGGACACACCTTAACGAGCAGCTATTCTGTGCTAAGCCCAGGTGGCCTAGAGGTGTGTCACAGCCTCTGCCGCCAAGGAACTGCCAGTCGGCAGGCAGGGAGAGAGGAAAGGTCAGGCGGAGATGCTGGGGAGGTAAGCCACACAGCCCCGGGCTCAGGCCAGAGCACTGCCCGCTGTGGGCGCTGCGCTGTCAGAGCTGCTCTCAGGGACAGTCATGTCTGAGCTGAGCCTACCAGGACGACAAGGACCACGTGGAGAGGAGGGGTACAGGGCTGTGGGGCAAGAGGCTGTCCCAAACTCACAGGTGAGCCAACTGGTGTACAGGCCCGGCCAAGGCTGGTTGGGTGGGGAAGAGGAGGAGGAAAAGGGAGAGTTCTGGCCCGTGGTTTCCAAGGAAGGGTTGGCTGGGCCAGACAGAGACTTCTGATTTATAAGCTGGATTGACAGCGAGAGACACATTCTCAGGAGCCCAGAAACATCATGGGCCAGGAGCCCGCCCTAGCCTGGGAGGAATCATGGTGAGAGATGACAGCAGACACCACTGACTGTGTGGCTCACTTAGGGATCGGGCGGCTTACAGGAACTGCCCTCGATCCCCCAGAGATACTGCTTCACAGATAAGGAACTAGGTCTCACAGAGGGGATGTGACTGAAGTCTCCCAGCCTGCACGGGACAACAGCAAGAACAGAACCCAGAGCGCCCAGCCCTTTCCCCACTGCTGCAGAGTGGGCCCCAGAGACGGGGCTCCCATCGTCTCAAAGCCAAGCCCACCTGGAACACTATTCCCAGGGCCCAAGATGTTCCTCAAAGGACAGGGCACAAAAGGCCAACAGCAAAGCACAGGGGATTCCCCACAGAGGTCACCTGTCTGTTAGAAGTCCTGTGGACTTGGCACCGCCCAATACTGTCCCACTTCAGCTTACATACCTCCAGTGATGGGGGGCTCACTACCTCTGCAGGCTGCCTCAGTATAACACATTTGTTGAATCACAATTATGGCAGCAAACACTAGCAAGTTCTTTACGTGGATTCATGTAACCGCCACAGTGACCCTCTGAGGTAGACATTAGTCCTCTCTTTTCACAGGTGAGAAAACTGAGGTTCAGAGAGATCAAATGACTGGTCTCAGGTCCTACAACTAGAAAGCAGCAGAGCCAGGATTTGAACCCAGCCAGTCTGGCTGCAGAGGCCACACTCTTAACCCGGGCACCCGTCTCCCATCTCACCAGCCAGGGTTAACAGAACATGCCTGGAGCTCACAAACGTACCGCAGAAGACACGTCTGTGGATGAGCAAGTGATGGAAAGAACGAGTGCTCACAGGTGAGATGAACACATAAGTGGAACACAAGGACGAAGAGGAGACTGGGGTCCGTGCCGGATGATAAGGAAGGAAAGGCTGAAAGAATGACCATAAACTTTGCTGAATGCAATGCACCTCTGCTCTTTCATCCCAGAACCCGTTTTCCAGCTGCCCGGCGACCCCTTTCAGGACAAGGTCTTCTCTCCAGGCCGCCAGGGAACCCTGCACACCCGCGTCCTGGAAGGGTGCTCACAGGGTGGACCGCCTTTTCCCAGACACACACAGACACGAGCCGGACGGGAGGAGCTGCCCCGCCACTGACAAGCAGGCTCCAGAGGGCGCATGTTGGGCCGGGGGCTGGAGGCCAGGGGCACACATGTCTGCAGCGGCCACTCCGCTGCCCAGCGGCGGAGGGTGAGGAAGAGGACATGTCCAGGTTGGGCATGGTCCCCAAGCACAAGGACGACACACGGGGGTCTGGGCACGTGCAGTGCAGTTCCCACCTCCACATGTTTGTTGCAGCCGTTCCTTCCTCCCTCACGCCCCTCCCAACTCCCAAATCCCCATCGTCCTTGGAGACACATGCACACGCCACCTTCTCCAGGGAGTGTGTCCAGACGCTGCCAGCTAGAATGGCCTCTCCCTCGGCTTCTCGTGTCCCTGCCACAGCATTTCCCAGTCTGCCCCGAGCCCCTGCTACCCTGGGTCTATCTCTGTTCAGGTCCATGATGTTTCCTAAACGAAAACACCAGACCCCCAGCCATGGGAGAACAGCAAGTCCTTGCTGCCCACAGAGCAGGCCTGGAGCCCCAGCCCTGGCCCACAAGGGCACCGAGAGGCAGGAGGGCAGGTGCATGACTGAGCACCAGCCCATCTGTGCACAGGCCGGGACCTGGGTACCAGCCTGTGCCAGGCCTCCGAGCCCCGAGGTTAGAGGTGAGGAAACAGGCTCAGAGACGCAAGCACTACTGCTCCGGGTCACACAGCAAATGGACGCCTAGCTGGGGTATTTGCCTCTGAAGGGGCTCTGGCCGCATCTAAGGACAATCTCAGCAGCTGAGGTCCCATGCACACCATGCCCTTTGTGAGCCAGGAGCTCTGGCTACGCAATACACATGTCACATAACCTCCAAACGGGGAGCAGTGCCCTCAGTGCTCCCTTTTCACAGATGATAAAACGGAGGCTTGGGAGGAAGTTCAAGCCCACAGAGATACTAGGGGGTCCTGCTTCGAACCCAGGCCTCCCTATCCTGCTGCCCACATGTCTCAATGACCTCATTTCAATGACCAGCCAGGTCACACCTCAGACAAAGTTCTGACTCAGGCACGTCCCTGGGGAAAGCAGCTTCCCGGTGGCGTCGGTGGAGAAGCAGGACACGAGGGGCACGACATGGAGCATGGGGTGGCGGGCCGTGCTGAGAGCTCATATGCAAAGGGCAGGCCCTTTAGCATGTGGCTGCAGTGTGGCGGGCTTGGCGTGGAGCGGGGCAGGGAGCCGTGACGGTGGCGGCAAGCGGGGCTCTGGCTTACCCACGCACTTCCTGTGTGCATTGAGGATAAAGCCCTCCGCACAGAGCACTGTGTGGTTGACACAGTAGAAGGATCCCAGGGTGTTCACACAGAACTGTCGCCAGCTACAATCGTGAGTGCCCAGCAGGCACTCGTCTTGGTCTAGTGACGGCCGCGGGAGGAAAAACAGAAGGGCCGTTAGAGAAGCGTGGCCCCCAGTGACATGGAGCCTCCAGTGACAGATGGGGAAACTGAGACCCAGACGGGCAGGGACCTGCCCAGGACCTCCCAGCCCATCAGTGGTCCCTCTGGGCTTTGGGCCCAAGTCTGAGTTTGTCCGGTTGAAAGACGTCAGAGCAGGGGCCCTAGCAGAGACAGGTGGCAAAGTGAAGCTCAGAGAGGGTAGACAGCCTGTCCGGGGTCACACAGCGGGCGGGACCAGAGGCCGTCTCCCACCCATGCTCTGGAGACCCTCTACCTCCACGGGCAGCCACGGGAGCCACACAATGGCAGGAGTTGCAAACCTAAGTGCTTAGGGGGCCAGGCTGGAGACATAAACAGGAGAAGGGGCCAAGGGGGCTCTAGGGCACTGCAAAGCCTGTGCTCTGTCGAAAGGGAGACCAAGGCTGTGGGCTCCTTGTGGACAGATGTTACAAAGTTTCAAGAAAAACCTGAAATTTGGACATTAAAAAAAAATTCTTGAGCTGTCACTGCTGGTAACTTGTTTGATTATTTTAAACAGATGATAAAATGTCATCTGCAGGACTCCCCTGCGGGGCAGGCTACACCCACAAAACGTCCTCTGCATCCTCTGGCCTGGACCCCACAGCCTCTACCACTGGGGGCGCTGCAGAGAGAAAGGGAGGCCTGGAGGGACAGGGACACGGGCCCATGGCCTGAAGGAGTCCCAACCCAGAAGAGATACAGTCCTCATGTCTTCAGGGCCCTGGGAGATGAGAAGCAAAGCCAGATCTGCCCCCACCATCTGAGAGAAAGGCCTGTCAGTCACCACCATGCTGTGTGCTCTGGGCAAGTGTCCTGTCCTCTCTGGGCATGAGGATGGTTTTCATCCACACCAGAACAGTCCTGGGCAATCGGCTAGAGGTGGGTTTCGGCTTCTGACAGGGATGTGGGTCTCTTCCCAGGCAGACTTAACCCTGTTACCCATGGACCCAAACCAGGTTCATGGCTCCTGAACTTGAACCTGAAACTAAAGCATTTCCTAGACCATCTGCACGCTGTCTGCCTGCCCTGTCTCCACACACGAGGAGGTGCTCAAGGTGTCACTCACTGTGGGAACCACCCCAGCAGGTGTCGGATCCGATGCCCCCCAATTCACAGGGGGAGGTCCCAGCCCGCAGAGACCCCATCGGGACAAGACCCAGACTGAGCGGGTTCGTAAGTAAGGGAGGCCTGTGCTTTTAAACCCTCTTCGGCCCTTCTGTGAAGGCAGAGTCACCAACATCCACCGTCCCTCCTTGGTTTCAGAACTGAGAATGTGCCCTCAGCTGGGGCTGCCTCTCCCCAGCCTTGTCCCCCATGGAGGCCAGCCGGAGCGATGTCCTGCCGCAGGACGACAGGGCAGGCACTGCCCTCTGTCGGTTCCACCCGTGGCTGGGACGGGAGCAAGGTGGTCACAAACCCAGGCAGGCCACTCAGATGGGGTGACCCTCGAGGACAGAGCTAGTCAGAGCGTGACCCAGGGAGTCTCGGGCCTCCCCGGCTCCAAGACCTACTAGGTCAGACCCCTGGGGCCGTGTGGACTTCTCAGGATCCTGTGGTCCCAGGCCCACAGGTGACCCTGTTGCACACTGAAGTTTGCGGAGGCCTGCTCCAGGGAGTGGCGGGGCCGCGGCCAGCCCGTGTGCCCACCTGGGCTGCACGCACACCTGGCATGTGATGTGGGCGGACGCCGCCGTTTCAGCTGGCCGTCATGGCAGCCACACCTGCTCCCCGCTCACCAGCACAGCGAGGTTTGGCCCTGGAACACCTCCCCCGCTCCGGGCCCACTCAGGTGTGCGGGGCCCACGGCAGGGGGGACTCACCTTCACAGGACACGCCGTCCGCCATGATGGCATAGCCGGGGAAGCAGGAGCACATGGCGGTGTCCCCGACCACGCTGCACACCTGCTTGCAGGGCCCGTTGTCTGCGAGGAAACCGCACAGAAGTCAGAGACCGTGCGGCTCCGGCCTACAGGGCACCCCACTCCTGCCCCTTTCACGAGGTCACCCCTTCAACCCGCTCACACACCGGCTGGTGTCTGGGACCTGCCCCAACACACCCCTCCCTCAAGTAACAGGGATGCGGGTGAGGAGGAGGCAGGAGGACGGAGGGGAGGACAGGAAGGTCGCAGAGAACGCCCGCACGTATCTGAACGCGGGCTCCATAATGCCTGGGCGAGCAAGGATTGTACTCTCTGTTTTACAGAAAGCGAGGCTGAAGGCAGCTGATGGGCCATGCTGGGGTCACCCACGCCTGCCCCAGGCTGCGCCCCCCATTCTCACCTCTCAGCTCCTCACCCAACCTCCGACGGCGAGGCCAACCGACCCCCCGAGCCCGAGAAGCAGCACGCCCCGGTGGGGCCACCCCGCACACGCCCAGCCCCGAGGGCTCCCCGCCTGCCCACGGCCAGCTTACCTTTGCAGGTGTTGGGCTGCGGCACGGGCAGCGCGATGGTGTTGGGGACCACCTGGGAGGATTCGGGCCTCAGCGCTGACTCCTCGGCGGCCTCCGGCTTGGGGCGGTCACCGTCTGTCACGGACAGAGCAGACAGGAGGGGGGTCTCGCGTCTTCAGGCAGCCTCGGGCCCTAACAGGCGCCATGCCGGGCTCTCGAGGTCGGGGGGCGGCTCATTTTACCCACCCCCATCCACCCCACGGGAGAGGAAACTGAGGTTCAGGGAGGGACGCACCTCAGGCCAGATCCGTCTCACAGCTAATCGGGGCAGGGAGGGTGGAGGAGGACCCGTCTGTGGCCTCAAATGAATCTACCCCGGGAAGCTGGCAGGGAGAGAGTCCTCCCAGACCAGGCGCCGGAGCCTGACCGCCGCGGGCCCGGTACTGGGGACGCGGCTAGGTAGGCGGGGGCCTCCAGTCCCAGGTCCTGGCCCTGCACTTGAATCCAGGGTGGGCCGCTGGGGCTGCCCTGCAGACGGAGCCCCAGGAGGGAGCCCGTCTGCCTGGCCTCACAAACCCATCGCTGGGGACCCTCGGCGCCGGCGGGTTCCACAGTGTGGGGTGGCGGGAGGCGAAGTCCCCCACGGTCCCCACCCGAGGAACACCACGCTCTGCGGTCAAGATCAGCCCCGCCCCAGCACCTGCCCGACCGTCCGGGCCCTCACCTGGGCGGCAGGTGCGGCCATCGTCCTGCAGCGAGAAGCCAGGAAAGCAGGCACAGTGGTAGGAGCCCACGGTATTGATGCACAGGTGTTGGCACAGCTCCCCCGGGAGGAGCAGGCACTCATCCTGGTCGTCACCGGGCAGGCTGTTGGGCAGCTCAGTCTCCGTGCCCAGCGACAGGGCCTCCCGGCTCGTCAACTCCGCCTCTGAAACTGGGGCAGGGGTCCATGCTCACGATGAGACCCAGGCTGGCCCCAGCAAGTGGTTGGGACCACAGGCCCTCAGGAAACCAGATCAGGTCTTCACCAGAACCTTCTGTGTGCTCAGCTGAGACAGCACGATGAAGGACGGATGGGTGGGTGGATGGGCGGATGGATGGACGTATGAAGGATGGAGGATGGATGAACGGAGGGGTGGGTGGATGGGTGGATGGATGGGTGAGTGGATGGGTGGGTAGATGGAAGGAAGAATAGATGGGTGGATGGTGGATGGATGGAGGGTGGATAGAGAGGTGGATAGAGGGGTGGGTGGACGGAGGGGTGGATAGAGGGGCGTGTGTGGGTAGGCGGACGGATGGACGGGACGGAGGGGTGGGGGGGTGGACAGAGGGTTGGGTGTGGAGGTGGATGGAGGGGTGGACGGATGTGTGAATAGATGGATGAGAGGATGGGGGAATGAGTGGTGCAGTGATGGACCAGAGGATGGGAGGGGGATGTGTGAAATGGATGGGTGGATGGGGAGGAAGAAGTATGGATGTGTAGGTGAACAAAGAAACAGGAGGGTGGGTGGGTGGAGAGTGGAGGGAGATGGGTGGTACTAGCTGGGCAGAGCGGATGGTAAGTAGAAAACTGAATGAGACCACCATCTTGAAAATAACAGGAGCCCATCATGGGAGGCCACAGAACTCTGTCCAGAGCGGAACTTGGCCATGAACCACAGATGAAGGTGACCAAGGTCCCCACAGAAGGCCAGAGGACACCCAGCCTTGCGTAGAAGCCCCAGCAGTTCTCCCCCGTCGCCCAGCTGGCCCATATGCCTGGCCTGGGGAGCAGCACGCACCTCTCCGTGGTACAGCCTCAGGCTCCGGAGGCCGGCGGACCTCGGGCACGATGAGGGGGTCTTCGCCCTCACAGCAGGAGAGCATGACGTGGTTGCAGGGGTAGCCGAGGTTGGGGTTGGACTCACACGACTGGCCCTCGGCCCGCACGCGGAGCCCCAGGCCGCAGCAGTCACAGCATTGCTGGAGAGAGAAGAGCCGTCACTGCCCAGCCCGGCCGCTCAGGGCCTTCCGCATGGCCTGTGAGCCTGTGGGACTCACGCTGGAGCCCCAGGCTCTGGGGAGGGGCTGACAAATGGGAGCGAATTCACCCTCGTCTCCACATTGTGCCCGGGATGTGCTCTCCGGGGGCAAAGGTGTCATCTGTCCCCATTTCCCGGGTCTGGCTCAGCTAGTGCAAGTTTTTTGCAATAATTCATAAACGGCCTCTTATGAAAAGAACTACAAGTTAACCCACAGCCACACCAATTAACTGCTCCCATATTTACCAGCAGACTGCAAATCTATTCAGGCCACCTAAAAGGCAGCACTTCCCTTAAAGTTACAGATAAGAGACGCTGGGTGAAGCTTTCAGGAGAGCTTTTAACCGGGGCTGACTCAACTTGAAAGTACATCTTTTTTGCTCTCCCCCTTCCTCCTTTTTGGAACAGATGTGATGGCTGGAGCTCTAGCAGCTATTTGGGGTCATGAGGTGACCTTAAAGATGGAAACTACAAGCTAAAGATGATCGAGCAGAAATACAGAAGCCTGGGTGCCTGAAGATATTACACAGATTCACCCCTGTCCCAGACTGCATGCCTCCAAAAATAAAGTCTTTGATTCGTTTAAACTACTGTGGTAGACTGATTACAATAACAGCCCCAGTCGTTCACTCTTCACTGTGTCCTCTGTCTCTGCAGTCCTGTCGAAAGACAGGGTGCATTTCCCAACCTCTTGACTGTGCCTCATGACTTGCTTCGGCCAACAGGAGGAGACAGAAGTGACAGTGCACCTCTTCTGAGCCCAGGCCTCAAAAGGCCTTGCACACATCTATTCCCCATGTTGGAACCCTGCTCAGCCACTACCTAAACAAGCCCAGGCTAGCCTGCTAGAGGTTGAGACCACATGGAACAGGAAAGTGTCATCCCAGCTACAGCCATCCTAGATCTAGTGCCAGCAGAACCATTAGCTGGTGGCAGCCAAGGTCAGCTGGGCATGGCCCAGGTCAGCACAACTACCCTGACTCATGACCTGAGCCGGTCATCAGCCACTAGGTTTGGGATGGTCTGTTACACAGCAGTAGCTCACTGATACTCCAGACTGCATCTCCCAGTGGTGAACATATCCACATACTTGGTAAACAGTTTGCATTACCTCTGATCCTCACAAACACCCCGAAAGACATGAACTATTATCCCCATTTTATAGATGGAGAAGCTGACGATGAGGAAAAAGGACTGGTCCAGGGTCAAACATATAAACACAAATGGAATTCTAAAGTCGCCAGTCACAAAGGTCCTTTTGCTAATATCAGTTATTTTTTAGGAAAAATTGACCCCAATGAGACAAAATTCGATGTCAAAAGCCTCTGCCAGATGGTGCCCTCCTCCAGAGGTCCCTCAACCGTCATCCAGGCTTGTGGTTTCTTCAACTCCGTCCCTTTCTCTCCCCCAAACACAACATCCTTCTGTGATACTTCCTGAAACTGTTCCAAGTTTGCCCTCATCCTCTACAGCACAGACAGCCAGCTGTTAGCCCCCAAAGTCCGTTTTCCCTCCTTCCACATTTGCAGTGGGGACACGACCTCTCCAGAATAAGGACTAAATTTCCCAGCCTTCCTTGCAGCTAGGCAGCCGCCAGACTAAGTTCTAGCCAATGTGATGTGAGTGGACGTACTGTCTGTCCTCTAGGGAGGGGCTTTCTTACACCCACGTTCGCAGCAGCAATATTCACAGTAGCCAAGAGGAAGAATCAACCCACGTGCCCATTGACAGATGATGGATAAACAAAATGTGGTCTCTCCAGACACAGAATATTACTCAGCCTTACAAGGAAGGAAGTTCTGCCACATGCAACAACATGGATGAACCTTGGGGACATCACACGCAGCTGAAATGCCAGTTACAAAAAGACCAAAGAGAAAGAAAGCCCCGTGAGGGAAGGGAGTTTTGTGTTATTCATTTCTGCATTCTTAATGCCTAAAACAGGGCCACCACAGACTGGTGTCCAAACAGTATTTCCCGAATGAATTGGTCCGTATGATAACTGGTGATGTTTTCTATGCAGATGCAGAGCTCCCCTGCCCCCAGGCGTGAGCATCCTCCCCTCAGAGGAGCCCCCCAGGGCGGCCCACCCCCTCGGCCCTCAAGGACCTTCAGGCTCAGGCCACACACGCCCCAGGGCAGGCTTGCCTTGTACAGGGAGACACCGCAGGTGTCGCTGTCCTCATCCCCGCATGCCGCGCCCTCCTTGGCCCCCATGACACCGGCCATGCAGCTCTTCTCCTTCAAGTAGGACACACAGCAGTGCTTCTGGGCCGTCCTGCAACAGAGGTGCGCCTCAGCCCCACCAAGTGCCCCATCCTCCCAGGGAACCCACCAGGAGGGACCGCAGGCCCTGTTTCACACAGGAGGCTGCAGCTCAGGGAAGAGAAGCCCCCGCCACGGCCCACCGCCGGTGGGGCCCCTGCTGGCGCCAGGGCATCGGCAAGGCCAGCACATCCTCACCAAGTGACATGGGTTTTGTTCTCAGCTTAACTAAGACGACTCAGGCCTGGGTCCCACTGGGCTCTGTGTCCCTGACCAGATGAGGGAGAGCGTCCGTACTCCAAGCCCCCCAACAGGGCTGAGAAGGAAAGGGAGACCCAATCTCAGGAAGGGCTGGGCGGTCGGCCTGGGACCACCAGGGTCCCTGGTCAGGCCTCCAATAACTGTAGGGCTGCCCCGGGCAGAGACAGGTGATGGGCCAGCACACAAAACAGGGAGGTGAAAAGGTGGGCTTCAGTCCCACCTGAGGAAGGGGTTCGGCCTCACCTGAGGAAGGGCGTGTCCCAGCAAGGGCCATCTGGTGATGGACCTGGCTGGCTAGGAAGCAGTGAGTCTCCCACCACAAGAGGGATACAAGCACGCACTACTTCAAGCCTCCTGAATGCTGCAAGCTCTAACTCCTAGGCAGCCCAAACTGGTGGGATGACCAAAGGGAAAGGAAAGGGACAAGGCTAGAATTTAAATGTTTCTAACGGAGGCATTGTGGGCAGGACAATAGGAAACATGGAGTCTAATCCTGGCCAAGCTCCCAACGAGCTGTGTGGCTTTGAGTGAATCACATCACCTCTCTGAACCTTATCTTCCTTATCTGGAAAGAGGAGTAGGCTGGACAAGATGGCATCCCTGGAATAAAGAAGGGGTGAATGGCTGAGCAGGATGCCACCCGGGCCTGGCACAAGGAGGGCGTGGGTATAACTGCTTCCTTTGCTGAGAACACTGTCCTCAGAAGAAGCAGTCAGCGCACACAGCAGAGCACAGGGAGAGGCCAGCCTTCCTGAGACCCCAGGGTAGCAAAGTGGGGAAAGAAAGAGGGCTGACGGGCTTCCCTGGTGGCGCAGTGGTTGAGAGTCCGCCTGCCGATGCAGGGGACACGGGTTCGTGCCCCGATACAGAAGGATCCCACATGCCGCGGAGCGGCTGGGCCTGGCTCAAGGCTGAGGTAGGAAATTCCAGTGGGCTGAGCACCGCCCAGCAGCAACGCAGCACCTGGTAAGAGAAGCACCTGGCCGTCCCCAGGTGACAGCGGTCCCAACGTGTGCTCTTCCGACCGTGCTCACCAGGCCGGCGACAAGTCTGCACTGTTAGTTCACTCTTGGGGCAAGTCTCGGGCTCCCCACACCCGGAGAGAGCCCGGCCAGCCAGCCAGGCAGCCACATCCAGCCACCTGCGGGCACCTGGACGCAGGTGGAGTGGTGCTCACCTGGCAGTGCGGGGCCCGGGGCGGGGAGGAGGACACAGGGACATGGAGCCGGCGCCCACCCTACCTGCACACATCACTCTCAGCACCGCTCTCGGGGATGTCCAGGCACTCATCGTTGTCAATGGCCCACTGCTGCCCTGCCGCACAGCACGTCTCGATCAGGTCCTTCGTGGACACTGTGGGTGGTAACACAGGCAGAGTCACCGGCTGGAGGAGGTGCCCGGTTCCCAGGTGTCTAGGCCCAGCGGGCGTAGTACATGCTGCTGCTGCTGGGCCAGATCCCCATGCATTACTGGGCTGGGAACTCACTCACCCGCTGCCTGGGCCTGTTGCCGCCAGCAGCTCACAAGCACAGGCTTCTCTGCAGAGCTGCCTGGGAGGGTAAGTCCACCCAGGGGGAGAGGGCCGGGAGGAGGATGGCCAATCACTGAGTAGTGGGGCTTCCAGGGCCAAGCCCGTCTCCAAGGAGACAGCCCTGCGCGGCCACGCCCGCTCCAGAGCTCTCCGTGGGGCCAGGACCATCACCAGCTCCTTCCCTGCCCCCCGCCCTGGGCAGTTTCTCCAAATGAACCACGTGCACAAGAACCCCCAGCTCAGGCTCTGCTTCCAAGGGACCAGATAAGACACCAAGACAGGACAAGACATAAGAAATAGCAACAGCATGGAGGAAAGCTCCTGGGGAAAATATCTGTGACCGGGGAGGGCAGGAGTCGGGGGTTGGGAGAATGTCTTAAAACTCAAAGGCACAGACCACAGGCTAAAAAACGGATGAATTTTCCTACCTCAAAATTAAAATTCTCTGTATAACAAAGAACTCTGTGGAGAAATATAACAGACTGCTGACAGGTTAAGAGATGTTTTTGGAATGTTCTAAAACTGACAAAGAATTGCTATTGAGAAATACAGTAACCTTCTGAAAATTAACATGAAAAAAACCAACCCCAAAGTAAAATACCTATGAAACCGGAAAAATGAGAAAGAGTGATAAATGCCAGGCACAGGTGCGAACCCTCACGCCCTGGGGTGTGGGAGTGGCGACTAGAGCAGCCAGTCTGGAGGGAGACCCAGCACCTCTTACACAATTAAACACAGGCATCATCCAGGACCCAGTCGTTCTGCTCCAGGGTGTGTATTGCAGGGAAGTTGTTACCCGGACCCATATGTAACCAGTACAAGCTCACTTCAGTGTGATTTATGGAAGTGGGTGGGAGGGAGCCTGGATTGTCCATCACTGGAGGAGTATGAATAGAACATGGGGACGTCCTCCACGGAGGACTCCACAGATGTCAGAAATGGCAGACGAGAAGTACACACCACATCATGAAGCTGGACACACGTACACACAGCAACACAGAGCAGCAAAGGACAGAGCACTGAGGGGAAACAGGAAAAAGCCAAGTGAGATCCATTACATGAATTGAAAAGATTGTGTGCAAAATTACAGTACACATTTGCATAAACACATAAAAGCAAAAAAAAAAAAAAAAAAAAGAAACCCACACGGATTGAAGAGAACGGTTGCCTAGGGTAAGCGGAGGCAGAAATGTCAATGGGGAAAGGAGATAAAAGGGAATAAATACATCAATTAAAAAAAAGAGAGTCTTGCTAAGATGATAAGGAACCAGGAAATAAGGAATGCAATTAATGCAGCCATTTGACTCGAGGTCTGAAAATAAACGACATTCAAAGATGAAGCCCATCTCGGACACCTACATACGTGCTGAGGACACCAGGGTGTCACAGAATAACTCTGAACCTGGGTCCACACCTTAGTACTACCATGTACAGCCATTTCTCCTCCCTAGAGACTCAGTGTCCTGCTCTGTTATGAGGACCTACAGCTGCACAGCCGCTGAAGCCTACAAGGATCTCTAAATGTCCTTGAGCAGTTCACATAAGCTGGCAGGGCGGAGGAAGAAATGCACCAAGAAATGTCAGCTGCCTGCAAGATTCTAGGAACAGAAAGAGCTCACTAAGAATCATCCTCTTCACCGGCTTAGTGGGCGTTTCAAGTCATTGAGCTCTTCTGAGTTTCAATTTTCCTTCTAAAAACCGGGGAAATAAGCTTCAGTATCAACCTGAGGGCTGTTCTGAGGCACCAGGAGGAAAAAAAAAATTCCTGATAACCAGTGTCTACCAGAAACAAGTAGCAACATCACGGCCAGTGGTGAAACATTAGACACACACCACACTGAAGTCAGAAATATGACAAAAGTACCTCCTGACACGACTGTTTAACAGTGTCCTAGAGAGGCTAGCAGATGCAACAAAGCAAGAAAAAAAGCAGCAGCAGGAGTATTAGAAAAGAAGAGACGACAGTCATTATTTGCAGATGTTACGAGTTCATCTTTCTAGAAAATCCAAAGGAATCAATATTAACACCGTACTTAAATGAATACTAATTTATTATTATTATTATCATATGGTGGCAAAAAACAAAATTAACATACACAAATTAGTGGCTGTCCTATACACCAGCAACAATTAAATAGAAAAGGTAAGACAAAAAAATCCCACTGCAAAAAGAAATAAACCTGGAAATCAATCTATGTAAACACACTAAATCTACATGAAGAAAAAAAAAACATGTCTCATAGATATATAACAGTTTACTTTGTTAGAAATACATACCATGTGTCTAGATGGAAAGATTCAATACCGTAAAGATGTCAATTTTCCTTTATTTAACCTACAACTTAGTGGAATCCCAGAGTCCCAAAATAATTAGTCATGAAATTTGTCAAGTTGATTCTAAAATTCATCCCAACCAGGAAATGTCTAAAAATACCTGAGAAAATTTCCAAAAAGAAAAGAAGAGAGCACCCTTTAAAGTTTTAATAATTAAAAAGATAAGGAGATCAACGGAACAGAATAAAATTCAGAAACAGGATGATGTGCATATGGGAATTTAGTATATAATGAGAGTGGCATTCACACTCAATGGGGAAAGGATTGACTCTCTGATGATGGGCTCTACCACACATCACACACAAAAATAAATTCCAAATCTATAAAGTCAATACTAGAAGAAAACCAAGGAAAATAATTTTAGGATAAAGAGAGACTTCTTCAGAAATAAAATCCACCAAAGAATGATGCTGTACTCTTGTCTCACACCATATACAAATATCAACTCAAAATGAATTACTGAAACCATACAACTCCTAGAAGAAATCATAGGGGGAAAGATCCTTAACACTGGTCTTCACAACAAATTTTTGGTAATCATACCAAAAACACAAGCAATGAAAGCAAAAATCAACAGGTGGGACTACCTCAAACTTAAAAGCTTCTGTACGGCAAAAGAAACAATAAAATTAAATGACAATTTACGGAATGGGAGAAAATATTTTCAAACCATGTATCTGATAAGGGGGTTAACATACAAAACATATAAGGAACTCATAAAACTCAATAGCAAATATATATATACATACATATATATATATATATATATAAAAAAATGGGCAAAGGACCAAAAGAGACATTTTCCCAAAGACATAAATGGCCAACAGGTATGTGAAAAGGTGCTCAACATCACTAATCATCAGAAAAATGTAAATCAAAACCACAAAGAGATATCACCTCACACCTGTTAGAATGGCTACTATCAAAAAGACAAGAGATAGTAAGCGTTGGTGAAGATGTAGGAAAAAGGGAACCCTTGTGCACTGTTGATGGGAACGTAAATTGGTGCAGCCACTATAGAAAACGTTACGGAGGCTCCTCAAAAAAATTAAAACTAGAACTATCATACGATCCAGCAATCCCACTTCTGGGTATTTATCTGAAAAAAATGAAAATACTATCTTAAAAAGATATCTGCATCCCCATGTTCATCAAATTATTCACAATAGCCAAGACACGGAAACAACCTAAGTATCCATCAATGGATGAACGGATAAGGAAAATGTGGTGTACACACACACACACACACACACACACACACACACAATGGAATGTTATTCGGCCATAAAAAGGAAGGAAATCTTGCCTTTTGCAACAACATGGATGGACCTTAAGGTCATTATGCTAAGTGAAATAACTCAGACAGAGAAAGACAAATTCTGTAATATCACTTATATGTGAAATCTAAAAAAGCCAAACTCATAGAAACAGAGTAGAATGTTTGCCAAGAACTGGGGGAGAGCAGGTGGGAGGAACGGACAGATGTTGGTCAAAGGGCACACACTTGCAGTCACAAGACGAGTAAGATCCGGGATCTAATGCACCGCACAGTGGTTATAGCTAACAACTTGAGAGTTCCAACGAGAGCAGGTCTGAAACGCTCTCGCCACAAACAAGAACAAGAGAAAATGGTAGCTGTGTGGGGTGACAGGTGTGTGAACGAACTTTATTGTAATAATCATTTCACTACACATGTGTATATCAAAGCATCACAGTGTACACCTTAAACTGACACAATACTATAGGTCAATTACATCGCAATACAGCTGGGGGAAAAAAGAAATAAAATCCACAAGCAAAAAGGAAAACCTTAATACAACCGACTGGATAAAAGTCTAAAATACCTGTATGGCAAAAGACAGCCCCAGTCTGATCACATCACTCACTTTCCAGTCTCCACACAGCATTTATCACTATGTGAAACCCTCGTGTTTATCTATGAGCTTACTTTTTCATTTGTCTGTCTCTTCCCCTACAACGTCAGAGTTGCGACTTGAGTCTCTGTGGCCCCTGAGAGTGACGCCACCATTCCAGGCTTAATCCTCTCTCATCACACTCCGTGCACATGGGGGTCTCACCTTGTTTGAATACCTCTGGTGGTGGGGATCTCGCTCCATTCAGGCAGCTTGTCCCTTTCTGCATAGCTCAGCTCAGAACGTCCTTTCTTTTACTGGACTGAACTTTTTCTCCCTAAGCCTTCTCCAAGACTGCCTTACAGAGATTAGGAGATTCCAACAGGCCCCTGGGTCTCAGCTAGATGACACGAGATGGGTGTCCTGTCAAGGGAACAGTAACGGCTGGAATGCACTGGTGCTCGCCACGAGCCAGGCGTGAGTCCAGGCACTTTCATCCCCACAGGTATTACGGTGAGTACCGCTGCTAGGCTCGCTCTAGACCAGGCGGGGAGTTAGAAGTCCCGAGCCTTAATTTCTCCTCTCCGGCCTCAGCTTCCTGTCTGTGCACGGGCAGCTTGATGCAGCCGGTCCTG